CGGCGGCCGCGAGGGTAAAGCCACCCCCTGCGATCTTGGGTGGACCGAAACGCTGACTTTGCGAATGACCAGTACGCGGAACGCTAAAAGGTTACGACGCTCTAATGAACCTCGTCCTGGACGATGGGAAGGAAACAGTCAGAGGTGAGAAAAGTGCCGCCGCGGGGGGTTCTACGGTCCCGTTTTATGGTTGAATCGGGGTGCTGATATGTTGCCATCCGCACAGATGATCAAGGAAACGAGTCGACGAGATCCCTCGGCCTTGTTGTTGCCAGAGGAACCCTTCTGGTTCTCGTCAGCCCCGTCGACGGCAGCGAAGAGATTGCCAACCCTTTTGCCCAAGCTGAGGAGGACTGAGCGCATCTGTTAATAAAAGGAATAAATACGAAAACGAAAACTGACGGCACCTGTTTGAACACGAATGGCCTACTATCACGGGTGATATTTCGCGGCTATGGGCTACATTTATTACATCCATCTCCTGCTGCGCTTATAGTTTTTGCTGCGTTGGTCCCGGGATTTGGATTCATGAGCATACGATTTGCGTTGCTTGGGGGCTGGAAGACAGTGTGTCGTCCTCTCTATGTGGCTAGAGAAAGGGACATGTAAAGGCAATTCAATACTCGCTTCGAAATAATCTCATGCCACTCACCAAGCGATTGTATGCAACGGGAAAAGAAATCACATTGAAAGAGCACACGCTTTTTAAACACGTTACTGTATTGATTGAAATTTCGCTGGTCATCTCTACCTTCTGCCGGTAAACATATCGTCCGAGGGGGCAGATCATTCCTATCCACAGCCGTGAAGCCTCGAATCATACCGTCTGCTATGCTCATAGATATATAACCGTTGTCCTCCTCTTGTGTACAAAAATCTCGATGCTCTCTGGATGTACCCAAATCAAGTCTGTTTCGTACCTAAGCTTCCCAACAATTTATAGTTTTCCGGTTGTCCACACTCTACCACTTTGTCGACTGGGCGTATCCTCGGCGGGAAGGACTTGAGAATTTTTGGGGCCTCGGTTTCTCTACCTACAAGATTCTGTTCGGCTTGTTCCCTCCTTTCTGAAGCTCGCCGAAGGCGTTTGCCAGCTGCTTCTTCAGCTCCCTATAGCTGACGAGGAAGCTCGTTTGTTCATCTCGGCTCGTCAGACAAATTCTCTCATCTGTGCCGGCGTCCAGCTTATTCATGCAGCGGATCATGTGTCCCATGTCGAGCACGGGCTCCCCGTTACTGTCCACTTGGTGAAACACATAATCCCTGAAAAGCTTGAGCATATATCGCTCGCCGTTCTCCGACCACGCCCGGTCGCCGTCAAACTCTTGCCGCTCATTGACTGTAGCCAACTTCATCATCAACCGGGCAATTCTGCCGTTCTCAAGTTCCCTGTACAGTTCAGAGCTTAGCTGGTCCGTGGTTTGCAAATCTTGGTCAAACACGGCAATGGTGTGCGTGGCGATGCCTCGAATAAATTCATCGATGCCCTTTTGGGCAGGGGGCGTTTGAGGCGTCAGAAGCCACAGGATCGTATCCCGCAGTTCAACTGAGTATGTTCGGCTCATCTGCTCGATAGATGCTTTGAGATTCGTAAGATGAGTGGGGAGAGTAAGGGTGGCGATGCAGAGGATGGTGCGTCCAAACTGGATCAAGTCTTCTTGCTGTAGCTCCTGGACAGGACGGCGATTATCGAACTGGACGACATCGAGGACGGAGCACGCATTCAGTCTTATCCGGTTCTTATCCGTGACAATAATCTTTGAAACATCGACACAACGGGCCGCGAGGTTGATGGAATGAATGGCTTTGAGGGCGTTGGCGATTTGTGAAATATAACTCCAGAGAACACTCTCGGGGATACTGGATTTCTGATATCGATTGCCTTGGCCAGGGTTAGGTGTAAGGTGAGCCTCGGCTAGGGTTTTCGACAATGGGTGATAGTCTTGGACAAAGATGAGCGAGCTGTCTCCGAATGATCTGGTCGTGAAGGCATCGTGAGTTGTCACTACACTGCCGTTGTTAATCCGCCTCCACTCCTTGACGGATCTAATAGCCTGCTCATTGCTAAGCCGGAAGCCCTCTAATCTCCTTAAGCAGTATATTCTGCCTGATTTTGTAGATGTTGCCTTGTAAACCCAGCTGGGGTAACCAAAAATATTGGCATTCTTTCTATGAGTGGTATCCAGAGCCACCAGCGAGTGATAGTTGTCCAGTTGGGGTAATTGAGAGTTGGGCATAACCTGCAGAGTTGCCTCTGCTCTCTTCTGATATTCTTCTCGGAGCTTCTCTGGCATGAAGAAGTCGTGGGTCATACGTTGGTAGGGCATGAGATCTTCGCGGTGAGGCCCAACCGCAGCGTATAGGTGATGCTGGAGCGGTTGCAGAGGGGTGGCAAAGGCTCCCTGAGGCTGGAAGAAAGCCGCCCCTGCACTACTTAGTGCAGCATGGTCATCGGCATACGGGTTGTACGGGGCTGCGGGGAGAGCTTGCCCAACGGTGGACATGGCAAACGGGTCGTAGGACACGGATGCATCTTGCGTTGATCCATTCGAGGTAACCTTGTACGACCGATAAGAATGTGTAGCACGGGGGAAAGCACGATCAGGCCAAGTCGTCTTACCGATGAGTTAAGTTCGAAGCTAGGGGTAAATTCACGGATTGCGGCCGGATTGAAGGTTCCGGCCGTGTCATTTTCTGAAGTTTGAGTTGGCGTGGAGGCTGACGCTGGTTAGTCCCGGGTCGGTTGTATGCATAAAAGAGACCTGGCTTACATCCTAGTCCTCGCGGAGTAAAAGCAGGTGCGTTGGCAGCTTGAGTGCTAAGGGCACCCTTCTTGATGATCGTTGGGATAGTTGCTGGAGTGAATGATGGGGACTCGACATTCAAAGACTTCTTGGAGCTAAGAGCCAGAGTCGTTAGCTTTTTCATCCAGAGTACCAATATGACAATAACCAGGGCAGTTTCCACAGTTGAATCTTGTCCTACGCAGTCGGTCCGTGGGCTTGCAAAGTAGGGTGGCATCAGAATCCGGAGGAAATCAGTAGGGTTTCGACGCCAATCAGGTTGCTGAACCATTTCCAAGCTCGTACAAAGGCTAAAACTATCCAGTGCCAGATCTTGACCCAGAGCTCTCGCAAATGGATTTGGCTGGTGCTTGAAACTTGCGGCGCGGACCCCAAAAGTTAGAAGGCCCTGAGATCATCCCCCCCTTGAAGCATTTTTGGTTGTTTATAGAATTTGGCGCACGCATGGACAGATCATATTTGGTTTCGCGAAATCCTCGACCGTGTACCATTGGTCAATGGCCGCACACACAAGCCGACGATGCATACATGACCCATTTTACACCTCTCGATAAGAACATAATCGCATTCGACTCAATCGTAACGGATTCGGCGACAACGGATGGGCAATCACACAGATGTAACCATGGAATATGGAACTCGAGGGGTGCGTGCGCCGGTGGACTGGGCTGGAAGGGTACCTACATATCGGTTTGGTTTGATTTGCCTTTGTTCTGATCGTGGCTAAAGGTGCAGCCCTGGTCTTCGTATCGACAGTGGCCGTAGATTAGGACGTTTCGGCAGAGGGTGTCCTTGTTCTCTGAGATGGCGTAGAAAGGTTAGCAGCGAGGAAACAGAGACAAGCTTGATCTGTTGGGGGACTGTTCGGCCATACCCCGCCCCTTCGACCGCGGCGATCCAACCTGGCGACGAAGATCATTGGCCTGGTATCGCGTCGCAGCCATCTTGTGCTGGCAGTGTGATGAGGATGCCTCCGCTACCCGATACTAGGAACACTGCTTGACAATTAGCCAGGCGTGGCGACGCGGGATGCCGCTGCTGGGCGAGAGCACAAATGCCCGCGTGTCTGGTTTTGCGATGGGCGGGCATAGGTGGCTTCGATCTAATCTGACCTGGCGACAAGGGAGGGGACTGACCTTTGACGGCGGAGCACTTCCCATGGCTCGCTTTCTCGAGGCGCTGTGCCGCCCATGAAAATGTAGGAATACAGCTAGGAAGAGCCGTGGCGGTCACGGCGTGGAGAATGAGCGAAACTATATTTCTATATGTGCCAGAGAAGCGAAGAGACAGGATCGAAGTGCGGTGCGGTGCGTGCGTGCGTGGGGGAGGGAGAGGATGGAGTCGAGTCTTTCAGGTTGGCGGCGGACGTGACAAGGATGGATGGGGGATGGCACCTAACCCACCTAAGTCTGTAGAGAGCAGGTAAGGTGCATGCTCCTGTTGGAGCCAGTGGTATCGCGGCCAGGTTTCAGATCTGGAGGTACCTTGCCGTACATTCTGCAGTGTAGAGGTACGGCCTAGGCATGACGAAGGACGGTGGCAGAGGGGTCTTACGGAGGGATATGCGGTTAAAGGGTCGCTTGTCTCTGCAGAGGGCTTAGTCGTTGCGCTAAAGATAGCACCAACCAGTCGTTGTGTGTGCTGCACCGCAGGTAACGGGTGCTCTGCTCTAAGGACATGCGCATCCGCTAGCGAGCTGTCTGTGTCTGCCCAGCCAGTTGCTTGCGGGAGGGCGGCGTCAACGTGTAGGCCGACTCTGGATAAGGGCAGCCCTCGGCCATTGACTCAATTGGCCCTTGGCAAGGCATCAATGTACCACATCGCATCGCAGCGACTGCCAGCCCCTTTCGACTGCAGTCCCAAGGGAGCGGTTGCAGGTGATGCGATGCGCGGCCTACCTCTGCACCGCGTTTATGCAATTATGGGCGACATGACCCCGCCATCCGCGAGCTTGCAGCTACTTGGGACCCGCCCAAATGGGTGACAGAATCAGATTGAAAGGTGGCTATGAGTAGACCGCTTTCACATAAGTAAAATAACGTAAGAGTAGAAAACAATCTTTTGTTATTTCTCAAACCATAATTTAGCTATTGATCGCAGATTCAAATATAGGAAATAATTGGGAGTGTGTCAAATTCAATGTCACCCGCTTGCTTTGGCCTGGAGCATACTCCATCCAATGGCCTCGGGCTGGGCTCCGCCCATTGGAAAGCTTGAGGTACTTGCCGTAACCGTGTCCGTGACACAACCATCACCTAAGCCAAAATGCTGGTTGCTTATCGAGTCCGTTATCGCCGCATGAGCTCATCACCCTCCACCTGTCCATTGCATTTGCCTGGCCCTCAGCACGGCCACCTCCCTGTCTTCAACGCACCGCCTTCGCGAAACCTTCCACCACTTTTACTTTTCGCTCCCTGAGTTTATTTGCCCGACGCCTGTCCTGTATTACTTTTGTCCATCCTTATTCTATTAGATTTTTTTTGTGCTGTGCGTGACATAAACTGCGTCAGCGCATCGCTTTTGGCCATCGATCTTGGTTGGTGATATCTGCCACGTGCTGTCAATATCAACTTCAACTTAGCACCGTACTGATCGAACCAAGCGCACACGGACCTTTTATGACTTGATTTCTTTCGATGCCTATAAGGTAAATATTGCGCTCGGATCGACCCTGTGTTTTAGCACTGGTCCAGGTTGAACGGAAAATGGCCGACGTGGATTTGGAGCAGCTCACGCCGAGCCAGCAGGAGGCTTTGCAACAGTATGTGCAAGTGACGAACCAGGACACAGCAGATGCGGTCAAGATCCTAGAGAGGTCCCAATGGAGCGTTCAGGTATGATCACACCGACCCCGACCAAGCCCCGGCCTCACCCGAATTCCGGGTACTGACATACATATCATCTTGTAGATCGCCATCGCCAAGTTCTTCGACGGGGAGGAGGCAGACCCTGTGGCGGAAGCTGCCGCTGCCGCTGCCGCCCATGACATTCCCCGTGAATCAGCGAGACTCGAAAATCTCCAGGAAAGCCTTCTGGAGTCCGAAGTGCGGTCTTCACGCGCACCAAGACGAAACCGCACCGATGTGGCACCTAGAATCGTCCCCCAACAGCCCATTACCCGACGACCACACTGGCTGATCGGCCTCCTACTCACGCCATTTGGCTGGGGCTGGTCTGCCGCCTCGACAATATTCCGAACGCTATTCTACGTCCTCTCTTTTCTCCCGGCTCCTTTGCGCCCACGAGCGATCACACAGGGTTTGGCGACCGGTTTCAAGGGAACCAATGGCCGACGGATGTTGATGCCGCGGGATACGGCGGCACGATTCAAGAGAGAGTTTGATGAGGAGTACGGGGCTAACGAAGTGCCATTCTTCGAGGGAGGATTGGCGCAGGCACACGACCTTGCCAAGAAGGAGCTCAAGTTCCTCTTGGTTATTCTCATGTCGCCCGAGCACGATGAAACCGAATCCTTTGTCAAGGAAACGCTCCTGAACCCCGACGTCGTCAATTATATTAAAGACCCTACGAATAATATTATCCTGTGGGGTGGTAATGTCCTCGATTCGGAGGCATACCAGGTCGCAACCGAATACAGCTGCACGAAATTTCCCTTTACGGCTGTTGTATGTCTTACACCAAAGGAAGGAAGCACGAGGATGGGAATTGTGAAGCGGCTTGTTGGTCCGATGCCGGCAGAGACGTACCTGTCCGAGATCCAGGGCGCAATGGAGCGATATGGTGCGGACCTCAACGGGGTGCGTGCGGAGCGTGTTGCTCAAGAGGTGGCTAGAAACCTACGGACTGAGCAGGACTCCGCCTACGAGAGGTCTCTGGCGATCGACCGAGAACGGGCCCGCCAGAAGAGAGAGGCGGCCGCCGCAGCGGAAGCTGCGGAGAAGAGAGCCCTGGAAGAGGCCGAGGCCGCAGCATTACGAGAGCAAAGGCGACAGCAGTGGAAGGCATGGAGATCGCGGAGAATCACGGCGGAGCCACCAACAAGCGAAAAGAACGTGGTGCGCGTGGCGCTCAAGATGCCAGAGGACACCGGAGTCGGACGCATCACCCGAAGGTTTCCCCAAGACGCACCAATGGAGGAGCTCTATGCTTTTGTGGAGTGCTACGATGTGCTGAGCAGCGAGGAGGTCAGCGAGAAGGAAGTGGCCGGCCCGCCAGAGGACTACGAGCACGAGTACAGATTCAGGATCGCATCAACGCTACCGCGAGAGGTGTATGAACCAAGCACAACGGCGACAATGGGCCAGAAGATTGGCAGGTCGGGTAACCTAATCGTGGAGGAAGTCACAGGCGATTCGGACGATGAGACTGATGGAGAAGACGAGGAGGACGACGGGGAGGAAGACCAGGTGGTTGGGGATAGGTGACGTGGACTGGCAACTAGTCTAGAGAGCAAGTAAAACAAACCAATAGATGGTGAGCATGTCGCGTCAATCATTGTGGCTGGCGGGAGACGTCGAGTCTGTGTGGCAAGCAAAAGAGGTGTGCATGCATGTAGATGAGGGGCGGTTGACGACGCCTGCTGACCAATTTATATGGCGGTCGGTTGTCAAGATGGCTCCCACCGACTCGGTCGCTGGCACGAGGTGGGCAGTTCATGCAGCTCACGTACGTCGTCGACGATCCTTGATGCTTTTGGTAGCCTAGAGGTCACTTGAGGGCGACACCTACATATAAGTTATCCAAGTTGGCGATGACCCATTTTCGTCTGATGCATGAAAGCAATCCTCGAGCTCTCCGCCAAGAGATGTGAATCAGTACCAAATGCGGTTCTAAGCTCTATGCAGGTACCCATCAAGAATAGCTCCCAGGCAGGCTTCGAAATCTAGAAGCTCTGACTGGCCTCGGTCTCTCAGCGAGGCGCCCTGTGGGTTAAAGATAGACTTCCCTCTGACCCGTGAAGTCTAAATCGACCAGAGGGCCGTATCGTCTGATAGATGGAGCCTAGCCCTATGCCCTGCAAAATGCAGGCAGAGGAGACGTCTGCCCATGATCGGTCGCTTCGCCTGGCGATGGGTTGCGTGTGCTGTGGATAAGGATTGCGTGGGGTTTGAGGCTGTGCAAGCCTTAGCCGCGCCTTGAGCCAGGGCCCTCCGGAAGTGTTGCGGCCTGTTTTGGCGGGAGCTGATAGCTGTGATCTCCATGCTACACGCTACACGCTCCATGGCAGGCAGGGCTAGGCCGAGCTGGCGTCCTCCTCCCACTATTGGGCCCAGTCTCGAACCCATCACGCGCGCCGTTGTTGAATTGATACGGGTGATGGGTGCAATTGCTGGATTGAGGGTCTTGAGGGTCCATCCGAGCCCCTCCCTGTGCTCCTTCCTCATGCTCACCCGTTTAGACTGTTCGGGGACTAGAGGTTGAGCAACAAGCTTGATTCCATTTCAGTGAGAGCTGGGCAACGTCACCCTCCGCTGCTTCTGACTCTGCGCTGACTGGGGCAGAGATTTATGAGGCCGCCACCTTGTCTATGCCTATCGAACGATAAAGGCCGCTGCCCGCTAGCCAGCTCTCTTTGACCTGCCCTCCTTCCTTGTGTGCTTGTTTGATTGTTTGCCTGCTTCAGCCCTGGGAAGTGTCAAAACCGGGTCACCGTCCCGTCCACTCTCGCCAGTCTGCCTGCTATTACCTACCACCTACCTACGGAACACCCTGTTCCCAGTCAGTGTGCTTGATTGCGGGGCCTTGTCCATTGCTTTGCTGATGGCTCGAGTCCGTCCATTTCGCCTATACGTGCCATAACTATTAATTCATGCTAGCACCTCCCTCTAGCACGCTCTCCGCTATCTCAGCCGTGGGGAAAGGTTGCCGACTCGACTCGCAGCGACGCTAGAAGGCACGCCGAATCCAACCGCCCTTGGCAGCGAAGCCAACCAAAAGTCTTTTGTACATCCGGCGGCACAGCAGCGAGACTCTGCTGCCAGGGCGAACACTGAATTTAAATAAAGGAGACGTCAACGCAGGCCAGGGCTAGCTTCCACATCGAGGAGGGACCGCACGTATATACATAGTGCGTGGGTGTGCGCGCGCGACTTGGCAGCACACACCGACAACCCCATCCCCGTCCAACACCGACTCTGCTCTTAATACTACGTGCTACGTGCCTGGCGCAACCTGGCCATCTCGTCGACATATCCATCCCATCCCCTAATTACTCATAAGGCGAATCCACCAAGGGTTGCGCTCCTCCCATCCCCCAAACCCACATCCCGACTCTGCGACTAGCTTCGTCGCATCAGCGTGCGCCTTACCTAATCGCAGCCGTCGCTGCCTCCCATCAATCTCCCTCCTGCCCATTCCCGGCCTGTCTCGCGAATCGTGCATCAAGACCAGGCTGGCGTAGAAGCACGAGGCCAAAATGAAGTCGATGAAGAAAAGCCTCAGCATGGGCAAGATGCTGGGGAGCATCAGGCGGAAGACTAGTGGTACGTTGTCCTTACCTCCGGCTGTCTGCTGACGGCCTATCCACATTCACGCACAGCGTGTTCCGCGCATCTCACGGACAGCCGCTGCGACTGTTTTGACTTTCTTGGGGGAGGACGATGCTGACCATTTGGCCATCACCGCACTTACAGGTCTACAACATGGAGAAGCCAACAACGGAGCCACGAGCGCCACCACCCCCGTCCCTCAGCCAACTCAGGGCACCACGCCAGAGGAAACCGCGCGCAACAATGTGGTGCGTCCCTATAAGCCCCTCCAGAGGCTCGCGATGATCGATTGAATGGGCGCTTACAACCGAGTAGGAAGCATTCTGTGAAGCAGGTGGAAACGTGAAGGTACGGAACCCGCCATGACGCCACCCGGTCATGGGCACCCCTCCTCCTCTCCATCTTGACCCCGTACAATGGGAGCTGGGCGCTAACCATGTTCACGTCAACAGGGCGACGAAATCCTCTTCCTCCCCCTCATCGTCGAAGCCGCCGAGTCTTCGCCGTCCGCCGCCGCCGAATGTGCTCGAGTGATCCGCAAGTTCCTGGGAAAGGACTACATCACCCGCCCATCATGGCAATACAACGCGCTCATGATCCTCCGCATTCTGTGCGACAACCCCGGTCCGTCGTTCACGCGGTCATTCGATCAGGACTTTGTGGACACGGTCAGGAAGCTGCTGGGAAGCGGCAAGGACAGCAAGGTGCAGAGGATGCTCATGGAGATTCTGGACGACTTTGAGTTTACAAGGATGGACGATGGGAACCTGGTGCTTCTCATCGAGATGTGGAAGAAGGAGAAAGCAGCAGCCTACACTAGATTCGGGGTACGAGAGCATTCCCCAATCCCCCTTCCTAATCCAAAGAAGAAGAAAGTCGAGCATCAGACCACTAACTGTTACGTTCTTTTCACAGGCCCCCAGACGACAAGAGAATAGACGATCGCACCAGGCATCCGCCAACTTCCACTCCCAAAACTACTTTGCCCGAAGCCATAGCAACAAGAGGTTGCCTGACCCAGTCGAGCTGGCTAGCCGGTTAGAGGAGGCCAGGACGTCGGCCAAGTTGTTGGAGCAGGTCGTCATGAACACACCGCCCGCCGAGATGCTCCAGAACGAGCTGATCAGGGAGTTTGCGGACCGGTGTCAGAGCGCCTCGCGGAGCATACAAGGATACATGACTGCAGAGAACCCAACCCCGGACAACGAGACGATGGAGAGCCTGATCGACACCAACGAGCAGCTCCAGACAGCGCTCAACCAGCACCGACGCGCTGTTCTCAACGCGAGGAAGCAGCTCGGCCTGAACGAGCGCACACCCGACGAGTTCCCGCCATTGCAGGGCCAAAGGAACGGGCAGGACAGAGTCCTCCAGTGGACGCAATCGCAGGCTGATATACTCGCCGCCGGGGCGCACGTGCCAGTCACCACGGAAGAGCAACAGCCTGTGAACAATGGCAAGGGGAAGGAGACGCAACCATACGGCCTGGGTGGTGACCGTGACCGTGCTCAGGAGGACCCCTTTGCGGACCCCAAGGGCGAGGAGGAGGACGGTCGCGGGCTGCAGTACCCAGAGGAGCCATTCCATCCTGGCTTCCGTGCGTCGACCGGCGCTGGCGCAGCCCCAGCGGCTGGCATCTCCCCCGTGGCGGGTGCGTCCCTGCCGCCGTCCGCCACCGTCCACAAGAGCTCCCTCGACAATAGCAACACCCTCCTCAAGCCGCAGCCTAGAGACGACAAGGACTCGGAGTCGGACATTTATGACGCCGGGCCGAGGACAAAGGAGCCTGAGCAACAGCCCGTGTACAAATATTAAGCGGTTACTGGGGGAGGAGGCCAGTCGGATGGTGAGATGCAGGTGCAGCTGGCATGAAGGTATATATTGACAGTGGGAATAGGGGGGCGGGACTGGTCTGTTGGGTGGTGTCACCAAGATAAAGCCAGCCTGTTTGATGTTTTTTTTTATGTGTGCTGCCTTTTGTTTTTGTTTTTTTTTCTTTCCACTTTTTTTTTTGGCATGGGAATGATACCTGAATGTTTGCTTGGAAAAGATAATTACAGCTTATCCCACGAAGTGAAGATGCAGAAAGACATGAAAGATGAAGATGAAGAAGAATGAGACGCACATAGAAGTGGGGGATTAGAGCCAACAGCTTCATCGGCGAAATAGCTTCCATCCCAAAAGAAAAAAATCTCTACAAGATCGAGGGGGCCATCATCTCGCGCCCATAGTGAGCTTCGCCCGCGCGCCTTCGGGGTTGAGGCTGGAAACGGCAAATGCACCAGGCTGCGTACATGTAGGCCGCCGGCCGGCCTGCATGAGTGATTGGCACCAGGGCAGCGTTATGCATTGATTGCCCTTCTGTCCATGCGAGCGGCCTTTCTACATAAGCATAAGCGACCCGACCTACATGTGGCGATCCGTCTCCCTGCATGGAGGCCGGTATACATAGAATGCAATGTGCTGGCGACACGGAAGATCGATCCTCAATGCGATTGTATGTATAGGCCCGCGGGGTGTGTCCCTCTTTTTGCACGACGCGACCCTAGTCAAAATCGTATCGGGGATATCAAAAGCAGAAAAAGAAACGAGGAAAAGTTACTCGTCACGAAGGGGGATCGGGCTGCATCTAGGGTGCAGATGGGGGGAGGATACGAGTGGACGGCGATCTGCCTCCACTTCGCAAAGGCATCTCAAAAAGGGGAGAAATCGCTTCCGAGAGGGGACTGTTGCTTTCGTTTTCCTGTCATTCAAATCTACTGGCTTTTAGACAGGCGGGTGCAATGTTGCCAATGACAGTCGAGGACGGCCCCAGCTCACGTTGGACACGGGAGAAACAGCATGAATGTCACGGGAGAAAAGATTCTAGAAAATTTCAAAAGTGCGAATGGACACACATAACTGCGGTGCTTCGTGTGGTCGCTGAAAATGATTTTCGTGGGATCTGTCGTAACAGTGAGCTACAGGCTGATGGTCGTGACACGGAGGACTCAAGGTTGGAATCTTCGTGCCGGGCAGGATATGTGAGGCTCCGAGACCGCACACCCCCTACTGACGCCCGTCGCGCTGGCTATTTCTGCCAGTGTTCTGTCCTACGCACCTGTTCGTGGCCCTGGGTGTCCACGCAGTCAGTAGAGGGAGGGAGCGGGTGCGGGCATGTTCCGCGCAACATGGCCGTATTCAATCTATAGATGCGAAGAACATACAAGCTATGGCTGCTGGATGTGCAATAGCGATGTGCGGAAACAGACACATAGTATCCGATATGCAAACACCCATCTGAGGCAGCTTGACGTGTATGTATGTGTACGCATGGACGTTTTGAAAGGGTCCCAGGATTTTCAAATCAGTGCCTGATGCAGCCAAGGCACGGCTCATCGATGCCCAAGTGATTCGTCACCTTCCAACAGGCAAACTTTTATCACGGCACAGGGGCGGGGAATGTGATTGGCGCGGCGGTTTGATACACGTTGGGAGCTGGTGCAGGAGTCTTCACCTGTCATGTCTGTAGATGGGCGCACATTCGGAATATGGCCGCACGGAACACGGCCGCCAAGTGTTCTGGAAGCCGGCCAGATGCCACCGACTGAGACAGGGGTGTGAAGAAGAAAAACGTCGGTGATGCAAGAGAGGCCAAAAAAGGATGGTAAAGGCAGGACACTGGCCTGGAACGGAAGTGAAAGCGAGCCTAGACCTTGGGAAGACGAGACGACAGCCACTGTGTTGAGTCAGGGTCCAAGGGATGAGGGCGGGCTTTGCATTGAAACTGGTGATTGATCTGCCAAATTGTCTGACATGAAATTTCCCCGAGCCAAGCAAGAACCAACAATCAATGCAGAGAAAATCCAAAATGACTTGGTCAGGTCTGCCGGCTCTCGTGGCTCGCTCTGGCAAGGGTTCTGGCTAGCTGCATGGAGGCTTAAACCCAATTCCGAAATGATTGCGAGATGTTGGTCGTTAGATCCAAGCCGGAGGCAACGAAAAGAAGGGGCCGCTAAATTACCCACAGCTTCTTTTCTTAACGGCGCGCGTGGGCGCATGAACAGGGGTTGCTCGGGTGGTAGATTCGTCGCTGTGGATATTCATCGTATAGCCTTTGGCATTGGCATTATTGTCACTAGCGGGAGCCTCCCTTGGGAGAGGTCACCACAAGTGATGAATTCTCCGCGAACCGACAGAGCCGGGACCTTGTGAAATGATGTCAAACCACGGTTCTGGTGGTGAAGGTAAAACACAACATACGACAAGTCCATCATGCCATGCCACTCCAGAGCTGACGTTGCAACGGGCACTGGTCGGTCAAATATATTCTATTTCAGACAATGGCAATATTTCCCGAAGTCAGATTTTCGGTCGCCGCGTCACTGTTCTGGCGTCGGTGAGACTGGGAACCGGTCCAGTGGTTTGACAGGTGGGAAATAGGTCTAGGTCTATGGCTCTGGTGGCGGCCAGTCAGATCATTTCCAGACAGGTGGAAACGGCCCTCTGCATAGAGCATGGACACATCAGCCAGTAGTCTCCAATAGCCAATGGACGTCTGTCGCTCGCGTAGACAGAGCGGGCGGTCTCCCAGTAGATCACCGGGCCGTTATCAGGACCATGGTCGGAACTAGACATACCCTGATGACATACGCCATGCATTGCTTCTATTGTTGCCATGCTGGACAGGGAGCTGGCTGGCTACCCCATGCCCCATCTCGCATCCCTGCCTTGTCTCGGGAAATAATTTGGCTGCTCAGGACCAGGACGAGCACCGCGGAGTGGATATATGATATTCGCGTGGGACTGGTGAGGTGCGACAACGCACGCATTGTTCTAGATGTCTTACCCACGAGAGACTAGCGCTTGGGATGGTGCGCTGCCGGTCGCTCAGGACGGAAGACCAAGGGCGAGATGGTAGAAGGATGGAGAAGCAATTGACAGACCCTCGAGAGCGATTGGTCTTATTGCATCCATATGACATGTGAACAGGCATCGGTCTGGTCTGGCGAAGACCCTCCGGCTGGGGCGAGAGGGCCAAAAGCGGGTGCCGGATGTCATTGGCGGCAGCCCTCAAGAAATACCTGTTTGGGATAGTCTTGCGAACAGGCATTCAGCCAATCCCACCCGGCCAGCGCAGCACAGCATATACCTAGTTCTAGATAGTATGTAGCAGCAGAGGAGCCGCCATCCATCAGCCTTCTACCTCAAGTACCTACCTTACCCAAGGTATCTATGATGCACTGAGGTGAGTAGTGCTGCAGGCAAGGAAGGCACGCCTGCAAGCGAGGTGCCGCCGCGAGGAAGGCAGGCACGTCCTGCCAGGGCCGCGTTCATTCCCTTCTCGGGACGACTGGCTCTGCCTCATCGTCCCATCTCCACCCCTCCATTTGATCCATTTGATTCCACCGGCCTTCAGTCAGTCTCAGCTCAGCTCAGCTCACTTCCTTCAGTTGGCTCCCAACATCCTTCGGTCCCATTGAGTTTGTCCTAGCTTCTGAGCGCTGCCTCTTCAGTGCGTAGTGCATGGTCACGGACGTTATATTTACTTTTTCTGTGCATTCTTAGCCGCATCCTCGCCTCGCTTACCACCACACTCCCGCTACCACCACGGGCCCAACGGCTGACCGACGATGACCTGGCTCCTGACCGAGCAAGGGTCTGCCGACTACCTGGTCTCCCGCCTTCCCCGTAGCCCATGGGTGTATGTAATTGTTGCAGGTGGTTTTGTACGTATTGCTGCCGTGAACGAGTCTTCTTATGAGCACCTGATATAGGCAGACAGATCTGCCGCCCTCTACAAGGTTTTGCTTCTTCCGTCCAGTCGGTGCATGTATCGCATTGCATCGCATCAGCGCATAACAAACACCCTAGCCACGGTCAATGCCCATGTCAATGAGCCAAATCTCCCATTGATTGACTGATGCGTTTTTGTCTTTCTGAGGAAGCACCGTAAGTACCTAGTGGTCGATGGCGCCCTCCCCGAAGCCCAATTCCGTCCGTTACCTCCCTGCTCCCACTGCTTGCTGGCTCCTCAGCACACACCAGCACATGGCCGTCCCTCTCTCTATCCACCTCTCCCCATCTATCCATCCCACACCTATTCCCTGCTGCCCAGTCATCGTCGAGCGGACCAGGAAAGCTTCCCTCTCCATTGCTGGCGTGTCTTGCGACCCGTTGTTCGCCCGACTCTCCTCTTTTGTCACATCCCTTTATTACACATCTACTACATACAGTCGGACAGCTGGCCGTCATCATCATCATCAGCATCTTGGTCAGTCCATCATTGACTTGTCCTGACCGAGGAGGGAAGGCCTGTGCGAGCATACGCTAGTTGCTATCATTCGTCATCCATCCAGAGACCCGGCACCCTCGACCACGCCGGACCAGTATATATCCCAAGCATCACCGGCACCAACAGCACCACCACCGCCATCATTCCCGGCACCGGCTCCCTTCCAACACAAGCCCCAGGCAGCCCTAGACCGGCCGGTATCATATGTCCATCTTCGTCCAGCAATCCTCCGGCGCAACCCCCAACTCCCCCAAGCCCCCTACCTAGGGTTTGGTGTATGCCCCTCCCACATGTTCGTCAAATCAAATTTCGGCCCTTGGGAGAGCCCATTCTTGTACAGTCTTTAGACATGACGGCTCTATCCTCCAAATCACCCGTCATGTTCTCCTTCTCGGCATCGCCAGGTACTGGCTCTATAACTGGTATGTGTTATTCCACCACTTCCTTTCTTCTACCCCCCGCATGAACACACTATACACACATGTACAATACAAGGTGAAGCGACAGCTCCCCCATCTTACCTATACATGGTATGGCATATATGGCCCCATGTGGACTTGCTAATCTCGTCCCATTTCCCTCAACCGTTCAACAGTCGTTCATCAACGCAGTTCAACGGCTCTGTCTGCATGTCCCCCCACACTTTTCGATCCACAAATGTGGCTGCTTTCGTTTCCTTGCTTGGCCCTTTTGCTGTAGTGTGAACTGCTTGCTCGGTCTCCTACATCCTACCCTGCTCGCCTCATGCTCGGCTTGCTTGCATCCTCGTCTACATGCCTGTTTTGCCCCATTCTAGGTTGCTCTAGCCCCCATGGCTCCCTATTCGTCTCCAAATGTGCCCCAAGCTCGCTTCGGCCCGTCTCCTACACCTCCGCCTTGCTCGCCTCTTCCGTCTGTCTATGTTCCCTCTTCTCTTATTGACTCCATTCTACTCTTTATTGTTCCCGATCTCGCTTCCTTTTCCTTCCGATCTCTATTCACATCACTATCTCTCCAGCCTCGATTATCAAAATACATCAATGCTAAAGCTCAAGTGCTTACTCGATGAATAGATAGCACAACAGTAACGACCGTAACGACGGCAGCGGCAGCTGCGGCCGTACGAGGGGCACTACATCTTGTCAACATCCCCCGGTTCATGGATCTATCCTCCCCCGCCGCTCCGCCCTCTCTATCGTGCCTGGGTCCCGAATTGATACAGCTCATCTTCAAGCAGGTGCGTAATACAATCTTTTGTGCCTACATTGTGAAACAGGAAGACACGAGGACTGACTCGTGTGGTAGTTATGCGACATTGATCCCGTCTACCTCTTCCAGGTGCGATTGGTTTGTCAGAGGTTCAATGATATTGCCACACCAATTGCGTATCACGCCATTACTCTAACTCGTCGCCTACTCTCCCCCTCAGCTGAATCTACCTTGCCCCGTGTCTTTGACCACATCCGAGCTTTTACAAGGCATGTAGCGATTCGGAGTAGCCTCGATCCCATACGAATTAGGACAGTTCTCGAGCGTATTCCGAGACTCGTAACTATAAAGTCTGTCGCCCCCCTCTTTGATCTCCCTATACACCTTCTGGTTCCTCAATGTGTTGATGACTGACTTTAATACCAGATGGTCACTACACCATAGCCATGTCGATATCGACAAGATGTGGCCATCCACGCTCCTAGATCCTAAGAGGAGGGGCGCTCAAAAGGCTCGTCTCTATGTGAGCGAGCTACCCTTGTGCGATTACGAAGCTCCCATTGAGGACGCATACCAGCGGGCCATCCCAAGCAGCATGCTTGTGTCACTCAAGCTGGTTCATCCGAGCACGCCCCTGGTCACCAACTTGAAACCCCTCAAGAATCTACTCTTGAAGAGCTCCCGGTTGGAAACTCTTCAGTATGAGGATCGAGGACAGGGCACCCAATTCGTCTTCCAGAGTCCCAATGAGCGCATGCCAGCGCTCATTGATCTATCTCTCACATCATACGACTGGCAGCATAGTGCAGAAGATGTGAAACAACATTGGGATTTTTCCAGGTTAAGAACTTTGGGATTGATCTCCGTTCCAATCTTCAATTTTCTCAGCACCGTCTCATTCCAAGATCTAAGGGACGTCCGAGAGCTACGAGTTGATGATTGGAGCAGTCATATGCCGGATCGTCGTTTGGAGGCGACACAAATGCTCTCCCAGTTGATTGGAAACCATATCTACGCCTTGGATACCCTCGAGATAACCTGCCACATAAAACATTTTGACCTCCAATCTCTCCAGGGTCACTCAAAGTCACTACAGAGACTAAAGCTAAGGGATCACGTCGGCTTTCGCGATGAAGATCGTACTTGTCCAAGTCTGCAAACTTCCGACGTCTGCGCCCTTGCGAAAACACTCCCTTTCCTCCGTTCCCTTGAAATCGACCTAGATATTGTCAATTGCCCATCCGAGCCTTTTCTGGAGGCCGTCTCCCAATTCAGCCGATTACAAACCTTGACTCTCCATGTCCAGACAGTGGTATGTCCCATGGACTATAGCCCGGAAGGTGTGGATCTCGATGCGAAGGAGGCAATGCGCATGGTTTTAAATTTGATCAGGTCACGAGCAGAAAGGGATCCGACTCGGCCATGGAAACAGATCATCATCAACGTAGGAGGTTGGCAGCCGGTCATGGTTCGACGCCTCGGCCCTACGTGGAGAATGCTTAACGAGCAGGGCATCACGGCCGAGAGACACTTCGTTGCGTCGAGAAACGGGAATCGGTACGAGGTGGTGGACGCAAGCACACCAGAGTGCCATGTCTGCCTCGGGAAGTTGGCATAATACAACATGCAGTGCATCTAGTGCACATTGGCAGCCTTCTTCAGCGGGACTAGAAGAGGGAGGAATTACGATGCGATGATAAATCCATGTTAACAATTTGGGATTAGACCCTCGGGATGTCTAGGAAATAGACCTGGCGATGAGTAAGGTTGGGCAAAGGATATATAACATACATGGGACAGGGGACAATCGGCCATCATAACCACACATTATCTTAGGCAATAACGGTATAGATTGAACAAAGAAGACAACAATTTTTTAATGCTGTAACCATATCCACATGATCTCCGTCCATGAAGAGGAATGTTGACAGGGGGTGCAGGTCAGGAATTGCGAGCCATTCTGAAGCAAAATGCCCGTTCCCTTTGCCAACTTTCCCGCCCAATCGAAGGATACCCGCCAGTACGTTCTACATACTAATTTCACGATACCCCCGGGACTTTATCCTGCGTCACTTTACCACACAGTCACGCTGATGTTTGTAGGGTTCGCGCACCACACAGCTGGCGTGGATTGAGTAAAGTAGCTGCTGCAAGGGAGAGAAGCAACTCCTATACGCCCTTGACAATATGCTTCCTTCTAAAAGCGGGATGAACCTATTCTTTTTTATTCATTTAGGCTATTCCGGGGTGGATGGGAACTCCAGGGGAGCAAACTTGAAGTTGGTCGACGCCAGCGACGGCAGAAGCCAACATAGTTATAACAACAGCTAGGCGAAACCCGCCCTCAATCTTGCTAGCAAGCTCACCAAAATGATTCAATGCGCCAGCTAATTCCGATACTCTAGAACAGCGCGGTTGACCTGGGAGCACGCGTGCAAGATTTTGCCCACTGCTGTTTATGCCTTGAGTAGTTGGCCAGGGTGCAGCACAGATCAGGATGCGTGAGAATTACTTTGGGGACATTCCAGGCTTGCGAGACTTGATACTCGGCCCTTCACTGTTACCTTTTTTCCCCCTTTTCCCTAATCGGACCAAGGAACAGTTGTGGTGTGTCTGTCACTTATGGTACTCTCTGGCCAAGTTGAAGATCGAGGCAAACTACGCCTACCATGATTCAATGGTCACCTCAAGTAGCAAGCCATCACAGTATTTCAACATCGCCGGGGATGGCTCGCTGCCAAGCTGAAGTCGTTGGCAGAGAGACAACGTTGTACAGTCGGCAGGTTTGCAGAGAGGACGCCCAGACGCCCCTCACCTACGATCTCTAGAGTTCCACGACCACCGGTAACTAGAAGGAAGGAGATGATTTTTTTTGGCAAATGCCAATGTATGGGTCTTCCATTTGGAGAGCCGCTCGTCATCGGACGTCGTGGGATGGGATTAAGTGGTCGAGGTGCGATGGTGTTGGAAGCTCAATCAACTTGTCCTGTAGGGTACCCGAATGCGACGGCTTTCGAGGCCTGCGCAGGTGGCTAGTCGATTAGGCCCTGGCCGTATTTTTTGCTCCCCTTCTCTTCTTTACTAGCCTTTTCCCTTCTCTTCCTTGATATTTATTACGTAGCGCTATACCATCGTACACTTTTCGGGGCAAAGAGGGGGGTCGAGGATCGAGGACTCGGCGCGCGGTCGTGTAAATCGCTATTTTCTTCGAAGCGCAATGTCAACTCCTCTGCAAATAGAAATGGATGATAATATTCCACAGGGGCTGCTCTTCTTCCCTCGAAGCAAAGTCAGAAGGAAAGATTCCACGGTCGAGGAATGATGCTCGTCAGGAGACTGAAGCTGAAGCAGGCGGGACAGCGCACGGCGCAACTCGTAGAACAAGTCGTAGATGTGGTTCTCAGCGGAATGAAACGTCTGTACGTAAGCTACCGTCACAAGGGAAGGTTCTGGATTGTTGCTGGAGGATAGAGAGAGAAGGGAGTTAGTTGGCAACACCCAATGCAACCAACTTGCGGGACATGGAGGCAGCACCAGTCGGTCGTGCTGGTCTATCAGGTGGTTTCGTTGCCTTCAGCTGTTGTACTTCGTATTTTATCCAGTGTGGGAGTTTTTCCAACAAGCGATAATATCGTTGCCAGCTCCGGGCATCGATGGATCATCATGCTGTTGCTGAGTTGTTGGTTTTGGTCAGATCGTCCCTGGAGATGGCGCTCGAAGGGCTTAAGGTTAGGCTACCCTAAAGCTGCCGATCAAATAGAACAACGTCGCAGGAACGAGGGCCTGGGTCATTGATGAAAACGGAAAGCATCTCGGATACGGAAGCAATGGAAGAAATAAAATGGTTCGGAAATTGCCAGGCAATTAGTTTTCGACTGATTTGTCCGGTATGGTATTATCATGTTTAAGATGCCGCTTGCAGTTCGTCATGATTCAGACTAAACCCATTTGAACAACTTTAATTCCAACCAGTTTACTTTTTTTAATGTTCGAGTCGAATAAAATGAACGAATGTGTTGCTCCTTGAATAATAGAATTTTTTTTCCCTCTTCAAATCACAAATGACCTTGATTTCCTACTTAGTTTTACATGTAAGATCTAGTACAGACGAGTCTATAGAGGAAAGGTCACTATATTCAACCATCACAGCTGGCGGCGGCAACCCAGGGGCAGTCTTCTAAGCAGCTCACACAATTCAAATCACAGGCGGGGTACTACCACAGGGCAAGACTATGTCGGTCTCTGAATTGTAACATCTTGTAGGCTGAACCCTTTGTGATAAACGTGTTTTGGCAACTAGTTAGAATGTATCTGGCGGATAACCCCAGACAACTCTACCATGGAATTTAATTCCGCGCGTTGCCCCTCTATCCGAATTCCTGTAGCGTGTCGAGAATAGGGGACATCTCACTGCGTCAAATGGTGGGTGTAAGATGCCGGCTAATGTAACCGCTTTAGCGCCAACAGTGAACAAGACTCACTTACGAAACTTCTTTCTCAGCTCGCAGTACTAACCCTGATGGGATGTGTGTTCAATTACCAAGATCACGCGGCTCTTTTACTCTGTCCTGGTTAGAAAAAAAGGGGGGGACCAGGTCAGGTCGGCTGAACATATGATCACATCACTGAGTCGGGTTACGCAGCCTTGCCTCAATGAGAGCCTCCGTTAACGGGCATCCATTAACTTCCCGCCGGGCGCCTCGCACGTTTCCAATAGAGCCACCCAATGCCCTTCAGACCAGCCAACGCCACTCGACGGCCGGACCCATGGCCCAGCCTTCACTAACTTGGACCCGGTGAGCAGCCCGCCGCCGGAGCGGGCTCCAGCAAACTCACTTTTGCACTGGACGAAAGCAAAGTCCACGCCATGGGAGGGAGGCCAGGCCCGTCCCCTCGGCGTGTCCGTGTCGTACTTCTCCATTTACGGCCGACTCAGGATATCTGTCCAGAGGAAGCTAGTGCCCACCCGCCTGTGTCAAGAACAGAAGAAACTCCTCTTCCTCTGCCAAGGCTGCCCTTGAGTCGGAATCACGTCCCATCTCAACGCACGGGCGCAATTTGCAGCCGCGCAATAGACAAGGTGAAGGAGGGCTCCGATTCACCGAGAGCTGGATCCGCCCCATCCTGCAATTGCCCCTCACCTCCCCCCCTCCTTCTCCCCCTCAGCATCCCGAGTCTGCCATGCCTGGACCCCTCCTCTGTCTCTGGCCCGTACTCTCTTGGCTCGCGAGTGGCCTTGAGCTAACTCGACGAGCTCTGGCCAATAGCAGGTGATAGCCGGGGTCAGCCTCGTAAACCTGCCAATATAGCTCCCCAAGCACAGACTAAAGGGGGGGGAACACATGATTGCTTCCCTCGACGCTCGGAGCGGTTTTTGGGATTCCCATCATGGCTCAAAGAACTGGCCACCGAGGTGTACGTCACGGGGGTGGACGATGCTCCAGAAGAGAGCCGCCTTTTTTTGCTTTCCAGACGAGGCGAAAAGTCAAACGCCTCGGTTGACCTGCGCACCGGGTCACGGCAACTCCCTTCTTTCTCCTTTTAGGGTTTTTGTCCGTTTTCGACACCTGCTGGAGAAAAGGGTTTCTCCCGTGCCTCGTAATGTAAATGGCCGTCTCACATATGTGACCGGCCAAACGCACGCCCCTCCCCTCCTTTGCCTAGTGCTTTTGGGCGGGCGCGCTGGTTTTCAAATACTGTGTACCTTCACCGAACCAACAAGCCCAGCACTAGGCACGAGTATCAGCACCAGCACCCCCCTTTCTCGCGTGGGCGTCCCACGGGAATGGGAACCCATCTTTGCCCTCTTTTCCCCCCGGCGGCGGCTGACTCGGGGATACTAGCATCTCGGAGGGACCCGGCCGGCGATGTAGTGCGCCAGCCACATTCCAGCTCAACGAGACAGCAGGAATCGAGATGACAAGGAACTTCATAGGGAGTACAGCAGGAGGGTGACTCGTTTCCATACTCCCCTCATCTAGCAGCATTCCAGAGACTGGAGAACTCCCTTCCCTATTCATCCATCTCGGTCCGCTGCGGAATGGGAGGGCTCGACCCGAGGATTGTAAAGGGGAAAGGGGCCATTATCCCCGGATGCGGCAACGTTGGGCACGCGCTAGAGAAGGGACAGTTCGAGAGAGATGGCACCAGTTGAGGAAGTAAATTCGATCGAAATGAAGCGCTGGGACGAAGTTGACTCGAGTTGGGTCGAGGAAGGGGGCGGTTTGGGGGAAACGCCGCCCACGCCCATCATTTCAGCCTTGTTAATTAGTAATGTAATTTTTCCTGGTCCTAGAATCAAACAGAAAAATGAGAAACAACGATTAATCAATGTAACTCGGGGGTAACAATACCAGAAGAACAATTGAGCCGGTGAAAAAAGCCAGGGGGCGAACAGTGTGTTTACTGAACACGGGCTCCTCACCCCTCCCCAGGTCTCACACCGGAACGAGGCTACAAGTCTGTGCCCAAGTAGGGTCTTAAAGAGCTTGCGTTAGTGACAGAAGGGAGGAAGAAACAGCGGGACGCTGGCCGAGCCGAAGCCAAAAACCACAAGTGTCAATGTCATGTGGCCGCATGCCAGCGGGCCAGTCCATCGCCGTCCGCGTCAAAGTCTCA